AATCAGTGAATCTCATGGACATCAAAGAGTACACCAATTTCACACTATAGTACTATATCTATATATTTTGATTCGAAACACAATTATCGGAGCTGGTGCAACATTCCCCCAGTCCGTGACAGGTATGGGAATTTCTGATTGATCCTTAATTTTAGATGGAAGGACTTAAATGTATGCATAATTACTAAATACCGCGTTGACTGAAAACACGATATAGAGTGCCAAAATGTTTTGGCATATTCGACAAATTTAGAGGCGCGACGGAAACGTGCAGTATTGCTAATCAACAAGCTTCAAGCTAAATGAGTTGAGTCTCGTTGACGAAAATCTGGAAATTACAAAAAGTCGACGAAAAAAGCACAGACTATACAAAATATCGTAAGTTTATCAGGAAAGAAGCTTTATCATATCATATATTATCCCATGCGGGGATATTCATAGGCGAGGGGATTGCTGGACACCTCTCAGCCCTAGGCTGGTTCGCGTAACGGCTTCCTCCAGCATCAAGTCCACGCTTCCGTAAACAAAGACAAACTAATTCCATTCCGGACATGGACTGGTAAACCAGCGAGAATGTGCAAGAACATCGGTTCCCCCGAGGTCGAAAAAAAAATTTGCTCGTGCCAAATGGGTCGTGATGGAAAAAGTATTTTAGGAACACTGTCATATTCTATATACTGTATAGCGTTAACGTTTTTGCGTATCATCAGCATTGGCAAAAGTTCAATTTTAAACTTGATGAGAAAAATTAGAGTAATGACAAGGCCGCACTAAATGTCTTGGATTGTGGCCCGCGGGCCGCCTGTTGCCATCCCTGAACTACCTGATTTATAGAAATTATTTAATCATTTAAAGTGCGCTTTATGGACCACATAATATGGTATGTAACAAGTAACACGTGTCATTTATAAAAACAATGCTTATTAGTGAACTACAGTAGTTTATTTCAATCATTTATTGACAATAGTGACAGACTCATATATGTCCGTGTTGACAGTTAGCCGGCGTCGATGTCAAGGATTAGGAGCCGCAGCGTCTTGAATATTTTATTATGATGATTACAATTATTTCAAGAGTCTTGCTGCACACCAACACGAACATCCTTTTGATCACGTTTCGTCTGAAAAAAGTCTCGACAATTATTTTCCGCGCAAACGACATTACCCTTTTAAATAACTATATTCTTTTCATATCCTGTACATTTTTCGTGAAAACGGTTCTTGCGAAAAAAGGTTCACCGACTTCTAATCGTGCGATTTGAATACCCTATGCTTCAAAATCATTTTCGCGCCAATGATCTTCTCGTCAAAGGGCTTGACTAATTAAAGTTATTAAGTACTTAACTCTTCGAATCGTCCCTTCAATATTTGTTGCACAAAACGCTGCTTTGAATATCTATACGAATTAAGAGCGCTATTCTCAGAATATATTTTTGTGCAAACAGTTTTAGCGCTAACGGCCACCACCATCAGTCCTTATGCGCCCTCCATTCTTCGTCGTTCTCACAAAAAACTTTTCGCGCAAACGTTCAATCTTTGAATTTTTATACGCTTCAAACAGTTTTCAAGCAAAAATTTTTGCGCTTAACAGATGTCACCACTTTTATAGCCTAGACGCGCTAAGTACTCAATTCGTGGAATCGTTCCCCAAAAAATTTTCTATTTAATTAGCTGTCCAGAACGCTTCATCGTGTCATTTTCATCTAACGACAATTTTGTGCCAAAATTATGAATATTTCAAGACTTCACGTCTGGGTATATGTAAGTGAGCTAAAAATAACAGTTGCCGACATCTGAGCTATTTTAAATGACAGTTCTGAAACCGAATTTATTTTTTCTTCGAATAGACCCTAAATAGCATGTTTATATATAATTATATATGGTGCGCAATGAAATGTACTATGCTCATTATATACATTTTGACTGATGGTTTATTTTTCCTTCAACATGTATCAGTTTGAATATTAATAGGAGCAAAATACTAATACATAAATCCACGTTTTTCAATCGGGGGGGGGGGGGGGGGATTTTGTAGATATTGGGGAGGAATTTTGCTTTGTATTTGCTGTACTAATATTCTTTGTTTATTTATTATTATTATTATGATACTCATTCAGGAACATACAATAAACGGCGTTCCAGAAGTATGTGTACCAATATTGAGGGAACTAATTTTGTTCGTCCACTAGTTCCGGTGGATAGGATAGGATTTACATATTTATCCCGGGGGAGAGGAAAGCCGATAATATAGCTTAATCATATACCGAATAACACTTTTCGTCCGGTTACCAGTCCATGTCGGGTAAGGGATTAGTTAGCCAGTTATTTGTTTTCGGAAGCATGGACTTGACGGTGGAGGAAGCCGTAACCGACCAGCGGTTACGTGAACCACCCAACGGCGGCGAAGAGACCAGCAATACTCCCGCACATAACCATCCCTGCATGAGATTCGAACCTGCGAACCCACGCAGAGTAATCTGAGGTGCGGTGGCGAGCGATTCCTAACGCTCAGCACGATGAGCCACAACCCCGCGCGGTGTCCGCCATCTTGGTTTACATACTTCGGGAATACCAAAAAATGGACTATCGACTCTACAGTTTCAGCAGCTCTTGACAATTTAGTGGCCATCAATGCTCAGAGATTCGTCTCATCCCAACTTTAAAAAAAATTTATCTCAAATAAAGACTACTAAAGCACGGAAAGATAAAATAAAATTTTCTTAACCGTCCCTCGGGAAAAAAAACCGATACAACAGATTAAGCATATGTTACGGGAACCACTGGCCTAGTTATACATATGGATTAGGTAGAAAGGTCGCTGACTGGTTTTAAACGATCAATCTCGTATCTGTAACATATAAAATCTTGATATTATTCTGTAAATGCTCCAATAATCCTTGATATGAATGATCGTATCATAGATATGAATTAAATATAAGGGTCGTTGCTATTTTAAAACGTTAAAAACCGTATCTATCTATATACGGATGTCAGGTCAATACTCGATCAGTTACTAAAATTTTCAATCGCCAAGTTAGGCTGTAACAGCTAGCGGACATGGCAGGAGGTCGGAAAACGTAGGTTTCCATGCTTCTTAAGGGTCTACAAGACGTTTCAAGTTACGAAATATTGCTATGTATTGTAGAAGGAAATTTGTTTCACCTTCCCAAAGAGGGTTCACCCGGAAGAAGTGCTTCATATGTCAGAATTGCATTTCAGAAATTTATCATGAATAAAAAAAATGGATTAAATCTCAACCTGTGGGTGAACAAGATGGCGGCGATTCGAATTTCCGTCTGAACGATTTGAATAATTTACTATTCGATTCAAATGTACGAAACGCCCAGCCCAAATAGTAGATCGCCACACGATTGCTTTTACATCACCGTTCGACGTGAAAGTGTAATAAACACTATTCCAAATTGATTCTGTGAGAGGAATAAAGAGTTCTATTGTGCTCGTAGTTTGAACACGAAACGCTAACGTGGGCGCTCCACGACTCTTAAGAACGAAGACAACACCATTTTAACCGCGTTACTACAATATGTAATCTTCAATATGTGATACTATCATTCATTGAAACATGCTCAAAGCAAGTGATCACTGAATAAAACTGCATGGAATGAAAATAACATATTATTCTATCTAATTCTGTCTAAAACTATTAAAAGATTACCAAATCAATACCATAAGCCTATCATACAGATAATAGTATTTGAAGCCAGATATGCTAAAATATACATGTGATTCGGTTCGAAAATAAGTCAGACACATAAAGAGGATTTGAATTAGTTTTTAATCTCAAATGTTCAAATAGATATTAGTCTAAGTGGAAAAATGTATTTGACAAATTCCTACTTAATTATATTACGTGATAAAACTTGCATTCCGAGGACATGTCGTTCTGATAAGGCACCGTACAGGCTGCAAATTAGGCTCTGTAAAATCAGCAACGGAGTCATGAAGATGTACTATATTTTAAAGAATGAATGTAGCCAAGATGTTGCTTTTTTTAAGTATCATACATAGCATTTTTTTTGTGGATTAAAACGAGTTTTCAACCCGGTTCCGATAGGCGTTACGGTGTAACTTGGCAATAGGAAATTTCTACACACCGACCCCCAATGCGATGATTAAAATGCTAAAAGCTACTGAAAAAAATATATAATTACGGTGCCGTATTACTCGTCTACATTCAAAGAATGAATGTAGCCAAGATGTTGCTTATTTTAAATGTATAAAAAGCAAATATTTTCCTATATCATACATAGCATTTTTTGGAGCTTTAAACGCGTTTTCGACCCGGATCCAATTGGCGTTACGGTGTAACTTGGGCAATGAGAAATTTCAACACGCCGACCCCGTATTCGATGATTGAAATGCTAAAGGATAGTGAAAAAATATATATTTATGGTGTCGTATTACACGTATACAAGCCCCGATTAACGCAAAAGTCAAAAATTACCATTTTCAAATTTTTTTAATTGAGTAGGGGACAAAGATAAACTTTAATATTAATGACTAATCCACTGATCTCATTACACGATAAATCTGTTCAAGTGAGATCTCGGGCAAAGTTTGAGATAATCCTAATTAAAACTTTTCTTTCCTAATCCTTTGTCTTATACCAAGAAATGACTTACAAAGTGATGACGTAGTGTTAGAACAGTGGTTCCCAACGTGTTTTTAAGCGACACATCTTTTGTAGAATTTAATTTTGTAAAATCTCGCGGTCACGGATATACATATATATATATATACATACTTATGCCATTTTTCGACATAATTATTTGTTTGCCATAAGCGAATTTTTGTCATTGTGGCAAGCAAAATAGATGCAAAAGCACGAGCGAACATGTTATTAGGTCATTATACAAAACGACTTGCACAAACGACACCCCCGCAAAATTTTGGGCCGGCTAGGCTCTTGAGCGGTTGCTGCCGCGAACAGTTTGTTCTGAGTAAACACCGTCGCATAAAATTATATACATATATACTCACATTTGACGTGGGCCCAACATATTCCCAATATAATCAGTTGTAAAATCCATTTTGTATTCCTTTTCATTCTGTATGTCACGTGATCACAATTATCATTTATTAATTTTCGTCATCAATAATCATCAATCTTAGATCATTTATTATTTATCTATTTCCTGGAAATGTAAATTAGTAAATGATGCTAAATTGAACTAGGTCAGGTGTTGGGATAGGCTCTTTGCCCAATCAATCGCCATCCTCTGTTTATGAATACTGAACTGCCATTTAATCAGTAAGTTATGAATAGGAATAAATATATGGCCCCAATCGCCATTTGTCTGTTGCGCGGCCATATTGACACCGAAAATGTGTTCTGCCAATACAACATTTACATAAACACGTACATAAATCAAAACCTTATTTAGTTTAAAAATTCAAAATCTGTGTAGCGTGTTTGACAGCATTTATTACCCTAATTCACAATAAATGCGTTTACTATCGTTGGTGGCCATTCAAAAATGTAATTTTCGATTTTATGAAGTCGTCTTGTCGGCTTTCTAGCACGTATAAATCATGAAAATCATATATTTACACTGTTACGTCGACCTTTTGCAAAGTAAACAGCGCGTAAACATAACAACAATTTTGCGACTAATGTAACTCTTTTTCCTAAACACGCACTCATACAGAAAAACATACCAATACGCACAACACAATAGGCGGTCCAGAAGTGTGTGATGCAATATGGAGGTAACTAATTTTGTTCGCCTACTTTACATCAAGTTTTGTAAAGGGACTGAGCCTATGAGCAATGGGTACATTCACTCCGCAAACACAGACAGTCGCCGAACTCGTAATAGGACTAAAATGAGGATAATCGGAATACAATTATGGCCTAACCCTATCCTGGTACACATACTACGGGAGTACCGAATATTCAATACAAGACTTTTAAGTTCTTTAAAACAGTCATCTTTAATCTTGCTAAGGCCTTTTTTGCATTATACGCACGCATAGGTATACCAGCGACTCACGCAGAAAGAACCATAGCACAGAGCACAGAGTAAGAACCGGTAGTAACACTCGCGAAACCTCAAACTGAATGATCCGTGTCTGAAGCAAACATTCCTAAAGGTAAGGGGTCGTACTGTTAGTAATGGATAATACACAGTACATATATGCCAAGTATGGTCCTACGATATTTTTATGATAATATACATGGTCCGAGGATGTATTTTACAAATGTAATAATCACCTCCAATTATCAACAAGTTGTCTGTTTGTTTACGTCTGAAAACTTCCTGATGACAATCTTCCGGGTTACACATAGGTTCAAAGTTTAAAAAAGGTTCATATTAAATCTATCTATAACACGTGCTATACAATACACAAAATCCTAGTATATAAATGTCGCTGTTAGTGCGACCATAACTTTGCTTAAAGATGAGTCAACTTTACTTCTGAGTGAGTGGTCATAACCTTTGTCGGAGATGAGTAAATCTTGCGTGTAGTAAACATCCCAAGGACACGCTGATAACTTCTGATCAGAATATCCTAAAAACTACATCCTCGGCGAAGTATTGTTTGCCACGAATACCTTTTCGACTTCAGAAAATTATCTTAAAAAAATCAACAGAAAATCCATCTCAACACATTGGAGTATTCTATCTCGCAGCGGTGTATTTTCCTTCATATAGGTACACCCCTCATTAGCACGTTTAACATGTAACCGTCGTACGCCAAGTCCCGAAGGATATGTCGCTTTATTATCACCGAATTTTCTTTTTAAATGACGTCACTTTATGCATGAATAAGCACAAAAATCAATAAAGACATCCTAAATATGAAAAGCACATAATTATCGTTGACCGTTCGCGCGCTGTTACTTACGAAACCTAATTTGGAAGATCGGCGGTCAAGAGTTACTTCGGACCTCGCATGCGACTAATGAATATTTCATAATAATACGACGAGAGCGGAAAGCTGATTAGACGATTTTATCATATTATGTTTTCGTCTGGTTAACAAATAAGGAATGAAATATATTCAAATATTTTCTGTGAAAAATTTTCAACGGTAATTCAATTTGCCATGAACTTGAATCTGAGTTCCTTCTGAATTGGGGCTATTACTCGTCCTAGTTTACCATGATGTAATTTCGGACCTGACAACTTCGGACCAAAATAGGCCGGACTTTCTATGATCTCGGACCAAAACCTCAAATAATTTTTTTTTACTAATAAAAATATTTATAACTAACCGAGCTTAACATACTATAATTTCGGGCAAGAAAACTTCGTGTTTCGTGTTTCCCGAAAAAAAAGACAGGGTCCTATTTCAATTTTCTTCCGGAAAATACCACTAGAGCTTATTTTGGGGGATGGGTTAGGTATGGGATGGGTTATTAACTTTCTATAATTTTGAACCAAAAACTTCATTAAATAATTTGCTAGCTAATCAATAAAATGCAATCGTCCGAGTTTACCATTATATAAATTCGGACTTTACAACTTTGGATCAAAGCATTTCTTCCGTTGGTTAGCATTTTCTTCAGTAAAGACAGACTAAACGACTCAACTATGCCGCCTGACTAATGAAACTTTACATTATTTCTTATACGATGCTCGACTAGGACTAGTTAACTATGACATATGCTAAACGAATATTTACCTTTAAAATTTCCGGACAAATAATGTCGAGTGGTGAGCCACGCAATCGAACTTAATCGATTACGTGTGTAAGTCTTCTGCTAACTTCCAATATTACAGGCAGCATTATACTTCGAAAATAAATAATTCAAGCGTAAAAATTAACCTTATTGCTTAAATATACCGACTTTCTCCGTCTATTCATATACGCTATAAGGGAAGGATATTAGTTCTTTTGTTTTTTCTGTCCCACAAAACAGAACAATGGCTCAGTCAGTCAGTAGTTCATTTTTCACCAAAATGAAAATGCATTTACAATGAGCTTAAGCTTAAAAAAAGTTGAAAATGACTTTTCATGGTGGAAGGTGACGCGAATAAAACAAAGTTGGTTATCGAGCAGCGACACCTGTGATAAGAGTCTAACTTTGATACAAATTTAATAGAAATAAGACGAACAATATATAAATTGATACACCAAATATTAAAGTCCAAAAACCAAATTTGTTACAGAAAAGAGACTCCATACACCGCCGGGTACGGGAGGGGTAACCATAGGAAACGAACAGCATAGCAACGACCATAGCTGATTACAAAACGATCCACCAACAGATATGCGAGTGATTTAGTTTAGTTAATTTTATTCTATGTGATTCAAGTGTCTCCCTGCTCACTAGCACACATGTATTATATGTAACGTTCGGTCTGACAGAGGTTAATTAACCTATTTTAGACTGGTATATTTCAACTGACAAATATAATAACATTTATTATAAGTTATATTGGTGCTCCCGAAGTATGCGAACCAAGATGGCGGACATCGGAACATAACATGGGTAACAGGTTAGGGTTAGGCGATAATTTTTTTCCAATTTTCCTTTTTTTAGTCCTATTATCAGTTCGAAGACTAGCCAAGAGCCTCCCGTAGTATTTATACCTAAAATTATGGCCTAACCCTAACCTAGTACACATATTACATTCCGATCTTCGCCATCTTGGTTCGCATATTTCGGGAGCCCCGTAATAGCCCCGTAAGTCAAAATTTTCTACAATAATTAAAAAATTAATTAAATTAACAATTAGCGTTCTCAACATTCTTAACACTATAGTGAATTCTCCTCACTCCTCAACGCTCGTTTGAAGAAGTTAGACTATGATCTAACTAAAGTTCACAAAAATACTTGCTATCACGTAGTAGGAGATTATAAATTTTTTATTTTCTTGGGGGTTATCGTCCCGCTTTTCCTTGTTTAGATAGCAAAACGAACTTTCCATGATCAAACGTAATATAAACTGAGTCAACGAACAAATCAAAAAAAAAAAAAAACGATGAGGCAATTCCACGATGCCCTATATAGTTATATAATGCTTGTCTGAAGAAGTCCGACTTCGGTCAGACGAAACGTTACAGAAATACATTTGTGTTTGTGTGCAGCAAGACTCTTGAATTAAATAGAATAATCATTTACACTCTTGCTACAGCATCCTTGCGTTATACGCATACGGATCCACCTGCGCAAAGGCATATAAAGCAAGGAAAGGTGGTTGGTTTCACGCAACCTCAACTATTAGCCCTATTTATTGTTTTGATTATCACCAACACAGTTTCAGTGCAAAAGCATCATATAGTTATACTATGGGCTTTGAAAGTTCATTAATTAACAGGAGTTATATTAGCTCTTTTGCCCACACGAATACTGTTATCGCGCGGCACCGCGATACAAAAAATAAGGCGAATTTTAGATTGATTACCGAAGTGTTTTCACTTCTCAAAATTGTTTGTTTTAGGCTTAAAAATCAATTCAATGGAAATCAAAAGTGACTTGATGTCTTGTAAACAATGACAACTCTAAATTTACACACCTAAAGTTTGAACTCGACGCAATAGTGCACTAGCCAACTGAACTACTTAAACTTACAACTCACCCTCAAGAGGTACGTATATCACTGTCGCTGGTGGATATGTAAGCATATAACGCAAAGATGTTGCAGCAAGAATAAAAATATCTGTACTAAGTGATTCAAGAGTCTTGCTGCACACTAACACAAATGTATTTCTGTAACGTTTCGCCTGACCGAAGTCGGACCTCCTCAGACAAAAGCTATCAAAAATATATCTGTCCTGGTGTACATTAGTTTAATCACTCACACATACAAAATGGTAATAGTTTTCAAATTTTATAAACCGCAAAAAAACACAACGCCACTGGTGTATTGAAAGAAATAAAAATTCTGAATAAATACTGATTCGAATGAAACAAACCTGGCTAAAATTTAATCGCTTCTTGCCCCAATTTTTTGCATTATTCAAACACATTTTTCACAAGTTTAAATAGTAAAAGTAAAAAGTAATATATAAAACCATACAATCACTAGAATATCGTTCATCATTAGCTTTTTACTCTCTTAAAATGTAGCATGTATTGCTATAAAAACGCGTGGTACCAAACACAAACACAAAATTGAAATTGCAAAAAGACTTGTATATAATTTGCTCCTTGTTTTACAATGTAAACGCAACAACTC